CTCGCATTATCGAAGTGCAGAATAGACATGTAAACACCTTAATCACATTATTACCGTGGTGTAGGACTTTTCGCCGCATTTTGCGACAGGATACGGCAGTGATCAACCGTTTGACGGCAAATAAAAGAGCTTCAACACCGCCGTGGTCTGTATGCACGTACAAATAATTAACTGCACTTGAAGCTTTCATAAAATTAAAAATGAAACACCCAAAACTGTACATGACATCATCACGAAGACGAACTATGTTTATACGTGAAATTGGACGTCGGATGGCGTCACATGGGACGTAATGACGTGTGCCATTAATCGAACTATGTACTATAACATGTAAAACGGGAACATGAAAGGACTATTCTAAAAGCAACTCATGTAAACACCATAATCATAATATTGGCTTATTTAGAATAAGGTAAATAATTAGATTACTGATGTCCATGTAAACGTAGTCAATGTCTCTCAAAAGAAAGAGTCGACTCTGAATAATTTAAACGAGTCGTTTTTAAAACGAATCCCAAGCCGCTTCATGTTGATGTCAACATGAAATATTAGCATATTGCCCGCCCACTTGTTGGTCTTTTTGCGTTGGTCTGAATGAAAATGCAAATTCATTCTTTGCCACTAGGTGCCGCTTTTGGAGCGGTAAAAATAGCTGTTTCCCCGGTAATGCTGTACACAAAGCAGCACTGCGCGGTTAAGGCTAGAAGGGATACTTATGGCGCTACTGGGCATGCGCACATCAATACAGCATAATTTTTGTCACACTGTACAACAATAATTACTATTTTTTTCGTTATTGTAAGGGGTAGGTTTGGGGTTGGGGTAGGTGTAGACGTTAATAAAACAATCTAATAGGTAGAAAATTCATTTCATTGTTCGTTTCCGGTCAGAGCTGTATCCCTTCTAGCCACAACCGCACTGCGCTCACAAACGCTGCTTTATCAGGCATGATGAAATGAAAATGAGACCAATCGGACCAATCACAGCAGATTAGTGTCACGCAAAGGAGGGGTTTGGAAAAATGAATCGTTGAGCGAATTGTTTGGGAGTCGTTGAGCAAGTAAGGTAAAAATAAATGCATATTATAAGACAATGAAAGTGTTTTTTGACTTTGCATGCATGTCAACCTGTTGTTGGGGACTCCCAAAACCAAAATATGAACCTTTCATTACCCATAATAGGGGCACTTTAATTTATGCATGTATTATAAAGTAAACTGAAACCCTAATTTTTTTTAAAAATGTGTGCGTGTGTGTTGTAGAGTGCTTTGGAGACTCAGGTGTTTGAAGAGAAAGACAAGGCGCAGAGACTTCAGACAGAGCTGGATGTCAGCGAGCAGGTCCAGAGAGATTTCGTCAAGCTGTCCCAGACCCTTCAGGTAAACACATTTCACTAGTAGAACATTGAGGACTGCTTGAGGCACAACACAGCATGCCAAGACTGTTCACAGAGATGATAGTAGCTTGATTTTTTTTTATGCACATCTAGGAATTTCTTCAGTAAATGTTGCCTTGATAGCTTGTGATCTTTGTCTTACTAAATAAAAAATGTTTCCATCTCAAGTGAGTGTATGACTAGGAGTGTCAATGTAATATGATTTCAAACATGAATTAATAAATTAATTGATAAATAATTAATAAATAATTTTTCATCTATTTATTTATCCAATTGAAAATTGTTATTGTTTATTTTGTTACATTTAACTGCACTGTTAAACATGAACAGTTTTTTTAATGTGTTTGTCTATTTGAAAATTATTTTTTTTCTTGCAAGTTTTGAGCAGTAGTGTTTTTTTAATAATTTAATACTTTTATTCAGCAAGGATGCATTCACTTGATCAAAAATGACAGTAAAGACAATATTATAAACTTTTGTAGTGTTACAAAAGATTTCTATTTTATATATAAATGCTGTTCTTTTGAACTTTGTTCATCATAGAATCTTAAAAAATGCATCACTGTTTCCTCAAAGATATTAAGCAGCACAACTATTTTCAAAATCAACAAGAAATGTTTCTTGAGCACCAAATCAGAATATTAGAATTATTTTTGAAGGATCATGTGACACTGAAGACTGGAGTAATGATGCTGAAAATTCAGCTTTGCTGAAAATATATTAAAATATAAAACAGTTGTTTTAAATTGTAGTAATATTTTGCAATATTATGGTTTTACTGGGTTTTTTTAATTACTTAAATGTAGCATTTTAAAACATTTTTAAAAATGAAAGAATTATAAATATAATCATTCAAAAATAAAAATGTTTTTTGTTTGTTTGTTTGTTTTAAAGACACTCCTAGTCCTCCATTAAAAAAAAAAAAAATGAGGATGGACACTTGATTGTGTCCAATCAACACACACACACACACACACACACACACACGTCCAGCTGGAGATACAGTGTTCTTGTTCTCCCTACAGGTGCAATTGGAGCGCATCCGGCAAGCGGACTCATTAGAGCGGATCCATGCCATCCTCAACGACACCAACTTTACGGACATCAGCCAGCTTCCCGAGACATGATGTCACTTCCTCCTTATGACTCCATTGTGCACATAAACACACACACTCCACCTGTACCCCAGATCTTTGGCCCGACTCCATCAAGATAAACCGAATTGAGCGAGGATGACTTGAGTGAACACTACTGATTCCTACTACTGCTATCCAGCTCGCACATGCGTTCTCAAGAGCACGAAAAGACTCCCGTCTCAACTTGAGTGAAGGGTTTGTCCCTTCTAATGCAGTCTCCAAAACCAGATCCCGGGAAGAGATCTGTCAATCTTTCAACGAACGCTGCTTTTATTCCTCATTCAGTTCAGGAAATGAGAAAATGGGTCCGTTTCCCAAGTCCTATTCCCAAAGTTCCCTTCTCTTCCGCCTTTCCTTCTCTTCCTTCCTCGTCTTTCCATCTGCTAAGCTAGCAGCGGTGACCTATGAAGGAAACGGACACTTCTGAAGTGTTTTGTACATACTTGTATACAGATTATTTGTGTATATTGCGTTAGTTAAGTTAATACACAAGACTGTGATTCCCTTTTGACCCGCCTCCTACGTTTTCACAAGCGACACTGTTTCTCCTCGTCCGCCAATCATTTCACTGGGATGTAATTACTAGCTGCTTTGTCATATCGCTTTTCAGCAACATCCGTCTTAGACCCTCCCAAGTTCTCCATAGTCCGTGTTGTTTTCCACTTCCTGGCAATTTAACAAAATTGGTGACCTTTGTTTGAAGTTACTGCTACATTAGACTGATGTTTCTGCATATTTTTGTGTGCAAGTGTGTGTTTTTTCTTTCAGAAGGATATTGCAAACAGTTGCAGTTAACGTCTGGTTTTGATATTCGCTTGATTTGTGTTGAGTGTACGGCTACAGCACTTACACTGACCGTTTTAGAAAGTGTTTTATTCCTCATTCTGCTGTTTGTATATTAATGAAAGCACACTATGTTTATGATTTGCAGTCATTGGGATGTCCTGTGGGACTAAGGGGCATCTTGTGTACCTTGTTAAAGGGTATAATAATCTGTCTGTGTTGGGTGTGGTGTAAACAGAATAGCGTATGGGATTCGCAAAACCAATGTTGATCATGTTGACCTTAAATTCTCAACGCGGCATAGTTTAAATCATATTGAGAAGATGAAAACATGAAAAGGGCTAAAGGTTTTAAATAATTTTCTTGCTCATGTCTACTTTAAAATAACAGACACCAGGCGATGTAACTCAACTACAGGAAACAAGTGTGTGTGATTTATATTCAGTTGTCTAAATGCCAAAAATCTGTTTATTTTTTACAAGACCAAGACCAGAAGTGGCATGTGATTTTTGGCATGGTCTTTTTAAAATAAAATTATATATATATATATTAGTTCAGGCTGTAGAGTTAACTTAAAAAAAAAAAAAGTTTTGATAAAAAAAGAATGAAAATTGGCTGAAATTCTGAAACGCCACCAACAAAAGGATAGTTAAAAGCCCTCTACCTGCATGTTGAAAATTAAGTCTGCTAATTTTGTAATTACAACCACTATCAACTACATCTGATGAGTACACAGAACTTTAACAACGCTACTATAGTATGACCAGTGCTGCTGTAGTGATCTGATGATGATGATGATGATGATGTTGATGAAGCTCTCCTGTGTGAAAATGTGCATCATATTAAGACCATGTGTTGTGGATTTTAGTATCAAGTAAGCCTCATGTAATTGCTACTTCAATGGCTTCTTGTGTTTTCACTAGCGCAACAGAAGCGATTCACTTCAGTGTAGTCTTGACGCCAGAATATTTTAGGAACTACATTTTTCATTAGCAGATCATTTTTGAACTCTAATAACTGATGTGGGGCAAGGAGAGACTACCGTTTTTAATGAAAATTATGTTTTAAAAAGACTTTTCTCCTGTCGGTATAATTTATCATTCATGAGTCATTTCTACTGGGTTTGTGAAGAGTAGTTCAGATACTTTCACAATAACAACAGTTATATTTCTGTTCTTTGCATGCTGTGTCGCAAATGCAGAAGCCCTCGCCGATTTATATACTGTACTGTGTACATATCCCTGTATATATCTATATAATAAAACAAATTGAAACGCAAGTTTGATGTGGATTTGAAGTCCGTAGTCGTTCCATTCCCCTTTTTCGCTTACCTTCCCATGATCACATAAATGTAAGACCTGTGGTTATACATCGTTTTGAATGCATTTTACATTTAAAATGTTTACATTTCAATAACACCGTGTAATTTCTGTGACATTAGAAATATTCATGCTTGGGTTATCAAGTTATAATAGTGAAAACAAAGCAAAATTCTGAGAAAAGAGTTGAAATAACGAGTCAAAATTATGAAATAAAACGTCAGTTGACATATAGTCCAAATTAATACCGTTATAATTATGGGAAAAGGGTTAAATTGCCATAAGCCGAAATTGAGAAAAGTTGAAGTTATGACAAGTCAAAGCAGCAAGTCAATCGAAATAAAGTCTAAATTATGAAATAGCTGACTTTATCAGTCGAAATTGACGAGTCAATTATGACGAAAAGTTGACTATCAATTTGTCATGTGACTTATCTCATTTGACTTGATTTTGATTGATTGTTGAAATTGAAAAAAAGCTTAAATTGAGAAATTCAAATTAAGTAATTGACAAGTCAAAATTGAATAGTCAATTATGACATCAAATACGTCACAATTACAGCAGTCAATTATGAAAAATCAATTATGAGTCAATTACGACAAGAAATTAACTGTCATGACTGAATTTCATAATTTTATACTTTTCATCATGATTGATTGGAATCATTTTTTTTCATTATGTGGTGGAAATGGGCTTCCAATGCCTTGCCCCATAGACATCCACTGTAAAGTAAATTACTTAAATTACTCCTTTAAAGTAGAGGAGCAGTACATTACTGTAGAGAGCAATCAAGATTAAAGGGGTAGTTCACCCAAATTACTCACCCTCAAGTTGTTTCAAAACCACAAGACCTTTGTTCATGCATCATGGTACTGTCGTGAATGCACAGATGAAAATAAATTGTTGAATGAAGTTTTTTTTTCCTTTGCGCACAAAAATGATTTTCGTAGCTTCATAAAAATACGGTTGAACCACTGATGTCACATGGACTATTTTAACGATGTCCTTACTACCTTTCTGGGCCTTGAACATGTCAGCTGCTTTGCGGTCTATGCAGGGTCAGAAAGCTCTCGGATTTCATCAAAAATATCTTAATTTGTGTTCCAAAGATGAGCGAAGGTCTTATGGGTTTGGAACAACATTAGAGTGAGTAATTGAATTTTAATTTGAGAATTTTTTTCATTTCTGGGTGAACTATCCCTTTAACTTTGGTAATAAACAACAGATACAGTTGAGCTCATCATCTACTGAACCCAGGTCATTCCTTCTCCTCACTACAGTAAATATCCAAGCTCCTTGTTCTTGACATGATCTTTGCCCTCGTCACATTCTGCCTTGTGATTAGAGGAGGGAAGGAAAAGAGGGAGAAGTCTTCACATCCAGCATGACCTCTTCAGATAAGCCATTGTCTCAGTTCAGGAAATAACGCCAATGCCCAACACTGCTGTATCACAGCTGATAAACTCTTACAGCAACACACACAGGAAAGACTCACTTCAAAGTACAAAACTCTTTATTGTCCAGGAGATGTGTACATGTACATACCACTTATTAAAAAAAAAAAAAAAAGTTTATACAAAAAACCCAGCTATTTCTTTCTTCAAGACCTTCTGAATATGAGAGGTTTGGGTCAAATACTATACTTTAAAGGAGTCTAAGGAGATGCGATTTTGTAGTTTCATTGAATGCTATAAAAATGATCATCTATTGGCCTTTGAGGACTGTTGATTGCTGATGGTCAGAAACTGAAATGGTTCTTGATGTCCTTGATCTGCTTCATCATGCCAGCGATGTGCTCTCCCCTGCAGGACAGAAGTAAGCCGTTCAGGATCACTGGACTAACACAACAGTTATATATGTTATATACGTTCATCGCTTAATTCATGCAAAATCAAGAAAAAAAAAAAGTAAGATCCCCCCTCCAGTATCTGGACATTCGACATTTGGAAATTGAAAATATTACTTGAGTTGATTCTTATTTATAATATAATATATAATTAAAAATATAAAAAATAATATACACACAAAATAGATTTTCTACATTACAATAAGGTTTTTTTTCATTGCGTTGCAGTAACAAGGTTAAGATTTGCACATGGAAATGGGGAGGTTTTTTGTGTAACAAGTAAAAGGGATATAGGGCATAACAGTTACAAGGATGAGTCTTTTGCGTAACAGGGATGTGATTTTTTGTTGCGTAACCGCAACAAGGATGAGTCTATGTATAACAGTAGCAGGGATTTTTTTGCGTAACAGGAATTAGTCTTTTATGTAAAAAGGATTTATTGATTTTTTTGCATAACAGTTACAAAGGATGAGTCTTTTGCATAACAGTAACGGATTTGTTTTTTGAGTAACAGCAACAAGGATGAATCTGTTGTGTAACAGTAACAAGTTTTTTTGCATAACAGTAACAGATTAGTTTTTTTGTGTAACAGCAATAAGGATAAGTCTTGTGTAAGAGTAATAGGGATTTGTTTTTTGTTTTTTTGCGTAACAGCAACAAGGATGAGACTATGTATAACTAATGGATTTTTTTGCATAACAGGATTGAGTCTTATGTAACGGTAACAGGGATTTGTTTTTTGAGAAACGGCAACAAGGATGCATCTTGTGTAGCTGTAACAGGTTTTTTTTGCATAACAGCAACAAGGATGAGTGTCTTGCGTAACAGTAACGGCAATAAGGATAAGTCTTTAGTGTAACAGTAAAAGGGATTTTTTATTTATTTCTTTTTTTGCATAACAGCAACAAGGATAAGTCTTTTGCGTAACAGTAGCAGGGATTTGTTTTTGTTTTTTTTGCGTAACAGCAGCAAGGATGAGTCTATGTATAACAGTAACAGGGTTTTTGCGTAACAGGATTGAGCCTTTTATGTAACTTAACAGGGATTTTTTTTTTTGCGTAACAGCAACAAGGACAAGTCTATGTATAACAGTAACAGGGATTTTTTTGCATAACAGTAACAGATTTTTTTGTGTGTAACAGTAACTGACTCATTTTTTTCTTTAACATGTAACAGGGATAAGGTTTTTTGCATAGCATTAAGAGATCGGTTTTCTTGCATAATAACAGTGATTAGGTTTTTGCATGATACAATAACAGTTTTCTGCACATTATGGTAACAGAAATTAGGTTTTTCTGCATTATAGTAACAGGTATGAGATTTTTTATTTTTTTTCAATAACAGTAACAGGAATTAGTTTATTTGCATTACATTAACTGGGATGTGGTTTTTTCACCCACATCACAGACTACATACAATCCTATATTTGCAGTCTTGTAGAACACTGTCATGGTTTTAAAAATAGAATTTGTCATTTCTATTTTCTATCATCTATATCTGTCATTTCTTTTTATTCACTTGGTTTCAGGGTATAATTTGACCCTATTCATGCTACAGAATAAGAGATGGTCACGGACCAACAACAGACCTCTGCAAAGCGTCTTTGAATACACACTTTACAGTATGAATGGCGCTAGCATTGACGTTTGGTGTTTTGTATACGTGTGAAGTAAAGCAGTTGGTAACTCTCTGTACATACTGTTCTTTCAGCACTCCCTGGACACACTTCCTCTGGTGGGCATTGAGTGTGAGACTGGAGCGAGCCGGAGATGCTCCTGTATTCATCTGCTTCTTCTGATATTCCTTCTTCATGTTCACCTGACAACACATTACAGCACACAGTGACACTGGGGAAATGACATACATCCGCTCTGCTCATGGCAACAGAGGAACACTGCCAAAACAAACCAGGTTTTAACTAGGATACATGGTGAAGCAGCGTACATATCAGACTACCATCTGCATTAAACAGACCTGTTTAATGCCGTTGTCAAGGTGACGGAGCTGATCATGGATGGTTTGCAGTTCCTTCCTCATGTCCTTCTCACTGTCTGACAGCACAGGAAGTTGACTCCGCAGACTTCCCAAAACCTGTTTTACTCTACACACACACATACATACACTTAAGTGGTTGTATCTTAGTTACAATTAATTCAATAAGGAAGTTCTGAGTTCAGAAAAACATGCCCATTTCAACATTTTTCTATTTAACTAATTTCAAAGAAAGGTGAACCTGTTAATGATGGCTTCTTGACGGTACTTGGCATCTTCATATTTATCAGCCAGGTGCTCCGCAGCCTCTCTCAGGCTTTTTCTACAACACACCATCACATTTACCATCTTTAGCACAGGCACATACTGCCGTAAACCACAGCGTTAATAACTCTTCTGTGCTGAGCCCACTCATACTGTATATTTCCAGTGTCTACCACACTCAATAATAACATTAGGTTTTGCTTTCTATTTGTAGTACTCGTACATGTAGTTCTTCTCAATGACTCAACTGAGCTAAATGTGTTTCTGTATGTGTGGTTGTGATTAGTGCTATTCAGGCAGTGCTGGGGTCACCTCTCCTCTCTACAAAGAGCAAGATCCTCCAGCTGCTTATTCTTCTGGCCGGTCAGAAGCTTTACTCTGAAAAGGGGACAATCATGAAATAAATGATCACAGATGTATTTACATGGACTGCAACAGTTTCACACTACTAAACAATAAATGTTGATTAGGCGGTTTATGTGGAACACTTTTATACTCTACAGAGCATTTTTCTATTTCAGATTTAAATGAGAGCATGCAGTGCTATAACTGAAAAATAGTACTGCACTGGTACCATGGTGCAAATGAAAATACTATAGTAGTTGTATATATTACAGTTCAAATGTTTGGATTGATAAGATTGATTATTTATTTACTAATTTTTTTGATTGATTGTAAGAAGTCTTTTATACTCACACATTTATTGAATCACAAATAATGTAAAAACAGTATTAT